TTTGACTTGTTTTGTGACTTAAGTAAATTTCCAATCTCAACTGTAACATTACAATGTTACGTTACAATTTAGATCAATTTATGCACGCCGCGAGACTCCGCCCAGAGGTCCAACCCCTTACATGCACCTTTTTCACTGTAAAGGTACCCCTTTCCTTTACCTTCTATTTATTAATGGCACCCTTTCAAATATCATGTCGGGAGCCCACCTGACCTACATGTAGTTTCCTGTTACCTATTGTAAATTAATGCACTGTCACTTTAATATAAAGGAATCAGGAACAGGTTTTTTTTTTCACTATTTTACAGTCACAAATTTCTTCTGTTAGTCTTTTTACAGAACGCAATGACAGATAGTCTACCCTCTCATATACTTTAACTCAGGAAATCCCTATCCTTTCACAACTGAAGCGTGAAAAAGGTGTCCTTTTCAGACAGTGCCCCCAGCATAACCCCTTCCCGGGCTTCTAATTTAAAGCCAATACACTAATTCAAATCTGCTCAGGGTTATTAAGGTCCAGTAGTCAGATTCATTGATATACTGTATTTCCTGTCAGCGCCGTAGCCATAGCCAGTATGAGGCAAACCGAGGCACTTGCCTCAGTCATTTAAGGTTTGATCCCAGTGTTTTGCTCAAGGTATCATCCACCCTTAAGCACCCTCCCCGCGTTGACCGGCGCTAGCGCTTTTGCTTTTACTAAATACCCCCATAAACCGTACATTCTCTGAAAGCTTAATAGTTCCAGATTATTGCTTATTCCTTTTAAAAAAATCAAAATATCAACGCGATTCAGAAATGAGAAGCTTTTTGTGAAAGTGGGTGTCGCTGTAAATTTAAGTCCAGGCCAGCCAAAAATAAACGGAAGAAGCCAATTAAGATCGCAGTCGCTTCTTAACACGTTTGACTAAAAAACTGTGTCTCAGATTTTTGTCAAGTGGTTTTGTTCTTTTGTTATAAGCAGTTGAAGTTAGGGATAGCAAATCATTAGCACTACCTGTGAAAAAAATACTCTTACTTGAAAACGAAAAAAGAAATCAAAATTCGCAGACACAGTTTTTTAGAAAAACTATCTGACAGTAAGTTGGCCAAATTGGTTCACGGGTTGCCGACTTGGAGTTTAAAAAGTACCCTCAACTTGCTCTGATTTTCATTTCGAGAAAACAGGGGAAAAAGATTTTTGGCGGCGTATTGCCCGTGACGAGATTATAGCGGGGCTCCCGCGCGAGCGAAGCGCGCGTGGGACAGAGCCCCATACCCATGGAATATGGTCAACCTCTTTTCGTTTGGTTGTCACGTGATTGACCGAGCGTACGTACGCGTCTACAGATTGTATGGGTGGGGTAGGGGAGACTATCAAAAGGAAGGGAGGGGTGTCTCAGGCGTGTCTTGGCAAGTCCACATCTTTAATATCTTTAACATCTGTTAATGTTCATTCAAACACTCGCTACAGCTCGCACAGGGGCACCCAACGACAATTTTCGGAAAAATATCTGTTCGGAAGACGGTTTGAGATCTAGAATTTTCGGAACATTTGTTGTAAAATTTCTTGCTTGCCTGCTTCTCCTAGGATTTTCGAACATCTAAAATATGGTACAATTGCCTATTTTTAACGGATTTTTACCCTAAAAAGGCCACCTACAATTTTTGGGAGCCTTTTTTCTGGCTGAAATTTTCGAAAAGGTAAGTTTCCATCCCTATAATTTTCGGGTCACTAGACTTTCAGCTAGGAAATCCGAACAGATGAAAAATTTTTAGGGGATAAAAATATGCCTATATCTACCGTTTAAATACCAAAATACGTTTAACAATGCTATGTTTTAGTGGTTTTGAACTATATTCTCGTTGGGTGCCCCTGCTCGCACTACAAAAGTGAGAACCGGATGGCCGTATAGGTGATTTTGGAAAATTTTTTTAACTGTTTATGAATATTGAATGAGAGGAATTTGTATTGTGAAATACTGTTTTCTGTCCATGGTATAAAAGGTTGGTTTACACGCACCCAGATTTGTTGGCAAGATTTTGCAAAGTAAACTTGTCGAACGCCAAAACGTTGGCCTGGTTTTTTTTCTAAGCCTAATTGATCTACGGTGATCAATAGCCATTACGGCTCTTAAATGTGATAAAAGATGATTACCAGTTTTTGAGTGTACATATGAGGCTATCAACTCGATGTAAGATTTGGTTCACTCTTGGGCTGTTTGCAAATTATTTTTCTCTAAAATCAGGTAGCCTTTCCCTCAAAAGTCACATAAATGTGCTCTAAAGTTAACTGAATTGTGGAATTCGAACACAAGTTTATTGTTTAATTTAAATTATAAATTTACTAATGGGAGCCTCGCTTTTAGCCCTGGCTAAATCTATATATTAACAGATTATAACACCAAAGCTGTCAATGTTGATGCATACCAGAAAAGGGACAACAATAGTGACACAGCAGGAAAAGGTTACAAACGAAACTCAACAACAGATTTCGAACGCTCTGCTCTGTTCGATTCTTCTGTTGTCGAGAAAGCATCTTTAGTTATTTGCGACGGGCAGTTTTCATTTTGAGCCAAGCCAACTTTTACTCGATACATTTTCTAAAAGTTCGACACTTCCCTGGAAAAATCGACAACAAACCGCTTCCTGGAGTTTTTCTTGAAGCTGCTCTCCTGCTACAGTAGACTTTCAAAAAAGTCCTTCGTCCGATTTTTATATGGCGCGGGACCGGTCGCGAATTTGTCGCTTGCTTGGCCGCTTCGCGACCTAAAAAGCTCGCTCCGCTCGCTAAGAAACTCGTGAAACTCGATTTCGCGGTAGTTTCAATGGGTTTTTCAGAAGCTTTGTCATCTTTTAGCCATTTTTCTTGATTGTAGCAGGGGCACCCAACGAGAATATAGTTCAAAACAACTTAAACACAGCACTGTTAAACGTGTTTTAGTATTTAAACGGTGGATAAGGGCATATTTTTATCCCCTATAAATTTTTCATCTGTTCGGATTTCCTAGCTGAAAGTCTAGTGATCCGAAAATTATAGGGATCAAAACTTACCTGTTCGAAAATTTCAGCCAGAAAAAAGGCTCCCGAAAATTCTAGGTGACCTTTTTAGGGTAAAAATCCGTTGAAGACGGGCAATTTTACCTTTTTTTAAGATGTTCGAAAATCCTAGGAGAGGCAGGCAAGCAAGAAATTTTACAACAAATGTTCCGAAAACTCTAGATCTCAAATCGTCTTCCGAACAGATATTTTCCCGAAAATTGCTCTCTGCTAATTTCGAAACCCACACTTTGCAAAACGATTTTGTCGTCTTCTTTCGTCTTGGAGTCAAGGACGAAAACGGACAAGCTCTTTTTTCTTCTTTGGAGGCATTCACTTCCAAAATCCAGGGAAAGACTGTGAGCACTATACTTGTAGACCACTATTTCTGTCAAATTGCGTGATTAGCTATGACAGGACTTGTCAACGATCAATTAAAATAATTAGCTTTTTAAAAGAAAGCTCTTGATGAGCTCTACTTAATCATGTAAAAATTGAAAATTTCGAAAAATGATGGGTTTTTACCCTGGATGATACCTTAAATGTGGTCATCATTATAGAGACCCTAAATATCTAGGCGGGTAATTCAACCATATTGGATATTGCCTCAGTCCTTATTTTTTCCTGGCTATGGCTCTGCCTATCGTCATAAAAATTCCACCATTAACTTGGGACAGTGTACATTGTAACAAGTGGTATTCCCTTTTGCACTGCAATTACCACAGGGGTCCTTAAATAACTGGCTGTGAATTCATCTTCAATAATATTACATGATGCTTACTAACAAGTTGAATTGGGGAACCAAATTACTTCATGTACATTGGTGTTAAATAATATGTTATTCAAGGCTTGTCATACATATACTGCAGGATTCTTTCTACATTTCCGACAATATTTATACTGATTCTAGAATATTATGGGCATCATACTGGATTTTTTTTTGTAGTTTTGACTGACCACCTAAAGATGACCACATCTTGGTGGTGAGCTTCCTAAAAATGACCACATTTTGAAAGCCCAACAGCCAATACTACAACAAAATATGGTGAAACTGCTCAATTAACTCAGAGGACAAGCTACCGAGCTACAATGTGACTTCAGTGGACCCTGTTTTCTCGAGTGCGTTTGAAAAGCTCGGCCCTTAGGGGCAATATGGACGACAAGTAGCAGTAAAGAAGCGAACCGAATTCAAATGTAAAGCAGCGTTTTATTAGCAAAAAGGTTACACTCTTTACTAACGGAAAGACATTGTGAAAATATTATCTTTGACCACAGCCAATTACTCTTCAAACGCCAACTGGATAACACCAACCGAAAATATTACTTCGAACTTACTGCCGCGATGATAACTGTAAATCTATCTCATTTCAAAAGCCTCAGCTCAGTATATCTAGAAGAAATGATCTTAATGATCATGATTAACATCAACAAAAGTAAACCCAAATATATACAAAGAGGTTCTTAGCGAACCAATGATGAAATTCTTGTTCTGGAATATGAGGAGTTTTACGCAATCTTAAACAGAAAAATTAACGATAAATCACGATGTTCTTACGATCATTTAAATAAAGAATAATCCTTCAGGACTTGTGAATATTGGTACCGGAGGAAATCTTGGGAGCTAAATTTTCGAAAGTTAAGTCTGACACTTTGAGCTCAGACGGACTTCCATACGCGCTAAACGTTTTGTTTATAACTTTTTTTCTGGTTTTCTAGCACTAATTTACGCACATTTTCACAAAAATATTTTCACGCCCTCACCACGGAATACTTTTCAGCTTGGTTCATTCTATCACACTTGCCAGTGACTGTATGTTTTATCGTCAATCTTTCGGTTCTATAAAATCTTAAACATAATCTCCATAATGTCATGTTAACTCACTACTTACTGCGATAACTTTTAAAACTGACGTACTGAAAATCCTGGCAAAATACAAAGGAAGGAAGTTAAGGTTCTGAAAAATAGAAATATTAATTCTAGGTTTTTACATGATCGCTATAATTTTGTCCAAACTTGGCCTTTTTGTTGGGTCTACATTCAAGCCCTGAACAAACAAGACAGGAAGGTGTCCCAGTTCCGCTTTTCTAAAAATTGTCTCCGCAATTTTTGCGAGACTAAAAATGTCACTGGCAACGCTTTGGCCTCTGAATCCTCCCACAATTTCGGGGGCAATATGTGGAAATTCCCTAGAATATGTTCTTTGTTTATCCAGTGAAAGAGTTTTTGCCCCTCTTGCTCCAATCAGTGGGACACTTATTCCAAAGTCTATGACTACCGGGTTGTAAGTACCATTTCTGTGGTCAATAACAACATTATCTGATTTCAGGTCATTGTGTAAAAACCCCTTTTCATGGATTCGAGATAAAGCCACCGCCGTCTTGCAAATTACCCTTGTCCAAGTTGCCTTGTCAGTTATTTGTTTCTTGGCAAGAACATTTGCTATGGTCATGGAACTGCCGTCCTGGGACCCATGAAACTGCATAATTATGCGATAGGGTGCCCGCTCTGAGCAAACGCCAAATAAAAGCGGAAGACCGGGATGGTCGCCGAGTTTGGTCATGATGCACGCCTCGTAAATGAGCTCCTCTCGCACTCTCGTCTCTGCTTCCTTTTTACTATCGTTGTTATAGTTCCTCTACGAAACTCTTTTACAACCACATCGATGCCCCTGTATGCTGCCAGGTAGCATGAACCGAAACTGCCACTGCCAAGGGGGACGTTTTTCATTGCTAGTTGATCTGGACAAATTTCTTTTAATACAACACGTGACTGTGTTTGCCGCCGGAGGACCTTCTTGGAGGGACCTTCCTCTTCCAGGAAAGCACGGCTAGGGTTGGCTCTTTTACGAGTAGACCCGCACAATTTTTCGGCCGCGGCCCTTGAAACGCTCCCTTCTTTATCGACTACTCTAAGCTCTCCTTTCTGAACACGAGTTTGTACGATACGTTCCGCCTGTTGCTGAATCCTTCTCTCTCTGTCGGCAGCCCTGGCCTGTCTTGCCTCTTCCTTTTTCCTTTCCTTACGTCTTTTTTTCTGCCTTTTTCGCTTAGCATTAAATACGCGCCGCATCTCCTCGTTCATGATTGACAAAATATTGATCTTACTTTTTCTTACAAAAATGACCAAATGAACACTAAGTTTTCGCCAATGAAACACATTCAAGTCTTCCACAAGTTTCCGCCGGAAATGCCGTATACTAATGAGAATAAGTATTTTCAACTCAGTCAAGGTCTTTGACGAATATATCAAAACACATTACATGTCTTAAAATGTCGATGCTATCAAGCAAACTGTGTCATCATGAGAACAATAAGGGAGAACAATAGCAGTTTTTCTTCTGTAGCCTAACAAGTTATTGTGTTGTTTGGTGGTTTGAAGTGGGACTTTGATTTTAGTTAAGCGTGATCATGGCTGACATTTATGTTATTAAATGTCGTCGCTGCGAGAATAGTTTCGGACGAGAAAAGCACTAGCAACGCATTTCAGCAAAAAACACCCGGGATATGAGGTTCCCGAACACGTTACGTTTTCGTTTGGAAAGAAGGAAGCTCCAACAGTAATACCTCGACTTCTGAAGAATAGAAAGCAATACTTGCAGTGGCTGGCAGAAATTGTAGAGTGTATTAACTCTGCGCACAATCCCAGTGTCCCAGGTTAGTATAGAATGATGATTTTCCCTCAGCCCCACCACTTAACCTGCGCCCAAGCTACAGTGCGAAAAGCCACGTGCACACGTTTCCTTACTCTTTTCCTCGCGTGTCGCGTACGAGTGTTCTCCGACGTGCGCGAGTAAATACCCGCTATACAACCAAAAAAGAAAACGATAAGCGGGATTTACCCGCTTAATGAACGTTTCCCTTCGACTCATCTCTGCTTTAGCAGCTCACTTTGTTTACCTTGAGATGTTATACATCCCATTGTCCTATAAACTTTTAGTACTATGAATAAAAACAGGTCAAGGATTATATAAGTTCACAAGTTGTTGGAGATGTTCATACTTTTAATCTCCTGTATGTTTTAATGCCATTTCAGCAAGATGGTGCCACTTCACCCATACTAGTGTCAAGGTCGAATTTTTTGGTCAATTATTAAAGAAGATTGGAAGCGCCAGGCTTAATGCGGTAAAAGAATGCAGGCACTTAAAACCACCACTCTGGAGAGAAAAGACGTTACGCATCGGCATGTCCTTCAAAACGTTCGACATGAGTGACCTGAAAAGAGCTCTGTCCTAGCAAGAATCTGTGGATTGCATGTAACAAAATCGTTCAGTGGGTCCAAAGAAATCGACGGCGCCCCCTCCCAGCTTTCTGGTCGCGCTGCCCTTGAGGCTGCTAAAAGGAAGCGAGTCCACCAACAAGCATCTCTAAGGTCAGAAATCATTTGTGGGGATGGAGAAAGAAGAGCAACCAGGGAATGTGAACTGATATGGAGTCCTATTTTTGACTCCTCAGACAATGGCATTCTCACTTTAAGAGTCTATGTTGGCAAGGTCCACCTTTGACACTTTTTATGCTATAGTGACATTGCATAACTATGATAAAATGAACGTTCTTAAGTTAATCATGTTGAAAAGAAGACAACAAAAAGTTTATTAAAACAATAAGTCGTTCTTTGTTTTTCTCTTTCTTTTGGGCGCGTTCAAAGTTCAAAACTAGAAACAAGTTTAAGCTCAAAACGCTCGCAAGCATGGGGAAAATTCCTCGTGCTAAGAAAGAGATCATCAGAAGTAACCAGGAAGGGGTGATTTTTCCTTTCTAAATGAATCCTGTTAAGGAAATTCTTATGGAGAAAAATTCTGCAAGCGGTCATGCCTTAAAAATGAGCCTTAAACGCAAGAAGAAAAAAGGCATGCGAACAAGTGAAAACTATTGCACCCCTATTAACAAATTATTGCTTGCACCCCTCCGATTATTTCTATTGGTGCCTAATTCTAACTTTTCGAGACCTGCGAACTGTCAACCAGTGAAACAAATGATTATACAAGTTAAAAAGTCTTAAGCAAGTTGAAATCAAAGTTTTGCTATTTTCACTTTACTTACACTTGAACAGTGCGTGTTAACATTATTTTTCCATTGTCCTCTGTACAATTCACTGAAGTTTTGTTTTATGGTATTACAAGCAAATTGGTTACACCCAAACAAAAGTTCCACAAAGGAGAAAACAAGAAATATAATTGATTTCTGTACATGGAATATATATAACAATCATTCTTGTAGTTGTGTTCATAGAAAAGTCTGCGTTTGCTTGATCCCACTTTAAATGCAAATAAAAGGCTTAACTGAAAGAAATTGACAATTGTTGATCAGGATACAAATGAAGGTATTGATTTTGTATATTATTATTAGTATAATGTATATTATATATTAGTTATCTTAGTTCAAGAAAAACCGTGAAAAAATATCTCAGATTCAGAGACAGTTACTTTTTAAAATATAAAAAATGTTCAGGAAGCGTCAGTATAATTGTTAATAACTTTTGTTGATACGGCCAAGCACTGTAAATAAGAAATATACAAAAAAGAAGTCATCAGCGATTCGACACAAATAAAATGATGTTGACATTTTTAAGGCTCACCATGTGTTGCAATGGCTACTGGTATTTTATACTCTCTGGAACACCCAAACAATAAAATTCTCAAAGAGCCACAGCCTAAAAAGGCTAAGCTGCTCTGTTGCATCAGGAAGGCCAAATTGTTTTTCTTAATTCTGACACGGGTTCAAATAAATAAAAGCTCATTTTTAGTTTCCCCTGAGACACCTGGAGAATAAAATTCTCAAAGAGCCACAGCCTAGTAAAAAGGTTAAGCTGCTCTGTTGCATCAGGAAGGCCAAATTGTTTTTCTTAATTCTGACACGGGTTCAAATAATTTATAAAAGCTCATTTTTAGTTTCCCCTGAGACACCTGGAGAATAAAATTCTCACAGACCCACAGCCTAAAAGGCTAAGCTGCTCTGTTGCATCAGGTCGAAGGCCAAATTGTTTTTCTTAAATGCTGACAGGGGTTCAAATAATCTTTGAATGAATAAAATTCTCACAGAACCACAGCCCAAAAAGGCTAAGCTGCTCCGTTGCATCAGGTTGAAGGTCAAATTGTTTTACCAATCTCTAAAAGCTGCTTTTTAGTTCCCATTGAGGGCCCAGAGAATAATTAAAAGTTCTCGCAGAGCCAGAACCTAAAAAGTAACTGACTTGAGCAAAATTCCAATTTAAATAATTACTCACAAATTGATTCCTATAAAGCACATGGAGAAACATTCCTTCTCACAGAGTCACAGCCTTAAAAAGCCAAGCTCCTCTGTTGCTTCCAGGCCATGTGGGTGCCCAAGGAGGATTCCTGAAAAATGTAAAAAGCAAGCTTCTTAGCAATTTGTACAGTTCAACGGTAAATGAGGTCCTTGACAGTTAACCTCCAGGGCTGCAATTAGATGCTACCCAGGTCTTAGGTTTTCGACAGCTTTTCAAACAACATGGGGTTTGAGGTCAATTATTTGCCTCTTGTTGTTGGAAACCCACATCCCGAAATGTTGTGATCACTATCTTGAATATTGCATGTTTACTTTACTAATCCCCACTTTATTTTGGAGAATCCCACTTTGCAGAAGAAGTCAACGACCACATCCTGACTGTTTCTAGAATCCTGCATTGTATTTTAGTCCCAGGATCCCAGCAATACCCTTTCATACCCTGGGAGAAATGTTGACTATAAGTCAATAATAGCATTGTTTAGGTAACAGATGGACTTCCTCTATACCAGGGAAATTCTACTAATCATGATAAGTATCTCATTTAGCCTGACAAAAAAATTGAAAACAGGTTCAACTAGTTGCAGAAATACTCGAGACAGTGCTGTACTTAATTTTGGCTCGACTAGACTGCATATCATTTTGTGCTTGTAACCAACCCCTTCTCCACTCATCAAAGTTAATAGCACAAGATTATGATCAAAACTTGAAAGAAAAACTTTGAATGGAGGGGTGGGGGAAGTGAGTATTATATCTCAAAAAGTAAGACTACAGTAATTTGAAGTTAGAAAGGTTGTATTTTCATGGAGTATCTCAACATTCTTAATTTCTTAAATTACCCAACATGATTTCTTACCTTTTACTTTTTTAAGGTTGCAATCTTAATATTAAGACTCAAGGCTACCCTCTAAGGACAAGAAGGGAGCCCAGTGTTCTAAACCTGTAAAACCTAATAAGTGTCCGGCATATGATTTGTATATAAATCAGTATGTAAATCTCCTACAGTAAGGCTGACCGAGAGTACTTGGCTACATAGGCTACACAGTTTCCCAATAGCAGATATCTCGCACTTTCGGTTGGCCTATGGTCCAATCCCACCGGGACTATCTGAAGTGCATGCTATGGTTTTAGAGCCTTCATGGCCTGGCTCCAGCAATATTTACCCAATGAATTTAGCCACACGTGCCACTTCCATTCATATAACACGCGCCATTAAATTAGAGATTGGCTCCGTCTGCCACTAGCTATGATAACTAAGCACCAGGGCTCCTTTAGGTTAAGCAGAACCAATATCTGGAACACACTTTCTCTAGCTCTGAGGAGCAGCATGATTTAAAATACGTTTGGGTTTGGCCTAAAAAGGCCCTTTAGATCCAAGCCAAATTGAGCCTTCAATACTTTTTCTATACTTAGTTGTTGTACTTTTTATCTGTTATTGCCTTTTGAGTTGTTTTTTCTTTTCATCAGGAATACATTCATACCAGCCTCGCTGAACTGGGCATCCCTGAATAAATATTGTTTGAAATAAAATTAATATAATAAGTAAGATTTCACATCATCCGGGTTTCTTGCAGGCTAGATTTTTTTCACCTAACTATGTTAAAACCCCATACATTAATATTAACTGCAGCTTCAATCATATTATGTTTAATAAGGTAAGTTTGTTTTACCATAAGACATATTTCAAACAAAGAGAGAAAGTTCAACTACATTTCTGCAGCAGCTGCAGGCCCGTAGGGAAGGGGGTATGACGGGTGTACTTGTACACCCCTCAAGCCCCAGACGCCCACTTTTTGTTGATCAATGATTTCTAATTCACTGATTGAT